CCCTAAGGCCAACAGTAAACCCGCCCCGCTAAACCCTAAATCCCTAAACCCTATCCCCTAAACCCTACAGTATCCCCTAAACCCTAAACCCTACAGTAAACCCTAAACCCCCTAAACCCCAAACCCTACAGTAAACACTAAACCCTAAACCCGAAACCCCCTAAACCGTAAACCCTGAACCCCCTAAACCTCAACATCTGGCACGTCGAGCTAAACCCTAAACCCTAACCCCTAAACCCTACAGTATCCCCTAAACCCTAAACCCTACAGTAAACCCTAAACCCTAAACCCCGTAAACCCCAAACCCTACAGTAAACCCTAACCCCTAAACCCCTATGAGCAAATCCGAAGCCCGAGCCAGGAGGAGGTCGTCGTGCAGAGCGATCCGCGTGGAAACCATGGCAGCCTGACTTTTTTGGGTGCAAAAAAAAGGCTCCTGCTGCTCTTTGTAGGGCTTAGGGGGTTTAGGGGTTTTACGGGTTTAGGGTTTAGGGGTTTAGGGGTTTAGGGCTTAGGGGCTTAGGGTTGAGGGTTTAGGGTTTAGGAGTTCTTGGAGTAAACCCTAAACGCTGAACCCTAAACCCCAAACCCTAAAAACCCTGAACCCTAAAACCTGAGCCCTAGACCGTATAATTTAAACCCTGAAGCCTGAACCCTAAATCAAACCCTGAAGCCTCAACCCCAAACCCTAAACCCTTCATTAAACCCTGAACCCTAAAACCCTGAAGCCTAAGCCGCTTACACGCTCAGGATTCGGGATGAAGGTTCGGAACTTCTGGTACCTAATGTAGGGGCCTTAATAATTAGAATAGGGTTTTGGGGGTTCCTTATTATTGTTATTATTGTTATTATTATTTTTTTATTATTATTATTAATTATACATACATAGTGTGCAACGCCAAGAACTTTGTTTTTGACCTCACCTCCCTGCTGTGCAGAGCCGACAAGACCGCCTCATCCTCCCACTGATCTTGATGGGTCATGCCACTCTAGATACCCCCAAACATCATGCAACCTTCGGGGAGAACGAGGTCGTCGGTGGTTGAAATGATTCAGCCGCAGGACACCAGCCACCCGATTCATCTGCTCTTCGCGAGAACAGCCGTAACAACCAGAGTAGCATACAGGCATAGCTGACCGCCAGTGCCCGCGGCTCGTGAGTGCTAGACTATGGACCCTTGCATCCTTTCGCCTGGGGACGCAGGCGGTTGGTTTTGCCGAACATGTTTGGCCGGCAGGCTCTAAAAGGAGTGCAACAGAATCCTGGAAGCTGCTACCGCAATCTCCGGGAGCCTGCAACCTGCAGCTATTGCCCTGCCAAGTGCAGAATTCGCAAACCTTCATGTGTTGCTGTCTGCACTGCAGCCGCCGTGCAATTCTATGCGCCTAACCCGGTTGCCTGGCAGGGCCTGCTGGCACGTTGCGGTTGGACGCACGCGAGGAACTGGAGTCTTTGCAGGCATTCCTATCAAGCCCCCCTCCCCTCGCAGACAGCTCTGGAAGTGCCTCAAACCCACTCTACCTGTCCAGTACCCTGCAGCTGCAGCGGCAACGCGCCGTGTGGACCCGAAGTGGCCTTGCCTGGAGCCCTCGTGGATTTTTGGAGCTGCTCGGTCGTTTCGAATCTAAGAGTCCTAGCTTTATGAAGGTACGGTCAACTGCTCGAGCAAGGCTGAACTGGTCGCTCAGCGACGCGTCCAGGCCAAGAGAAGAGAGTCGAAGGTCTGCCTTACACTGGAAGTCTGCCTAGCAAGAGATTGAGATATGCCTTTGATCCCCACTTCCTCTGTGCTCCTGGCCGCTGGATGTCACCAATGCTCTGACTGCACATACATCCACTGAAATTCCGGCGTCGGTTTGCAATGATGCCATCTGCCAGGAAAGTTCTGATTTTATGCTTGACTTGTGCGAAGTGCGCTGCCTGTGCTTCTGCAAAGAGGCTTCGGAATGTATTCCACTTGCAGCGAAAATCGTCATTGCAATCTCTTGCCGGATAGACAAGCAGACTCCCAACCGTGGTGCCAAGGGTATCGAAGATATGCTATCAGTATGGCGCAGCTACAGGATTGCATTCGGGGAGGTGCGCTGGGGTCCTGTCAAGTCTGATTTGCAGGCGCTGCGTCTTGAAAAGTTCACACACACTGACACCGCACGATTTGTTGAGTCTGCCTGGTTTCTTGGGCTCCTGCTCCTTGAAAGCGAAGCCTGGATGTGGCGCACGGTCCTGGCCCTCAAGTTTAAGTCATGGGGTGCGGAGGCTTGCACACGTCGCTCCACCGCTTGTCAATGGAAGCGGCTCAAAGAATGATAGGACTAGACCAGAACGCTTTCACCTGCAGCAATAGCACTGGCTCTGGAATTACATCTCCTAGCAAAAACTTTCGGCCGTGGGTTGAAACAATGCTTGCGGAACTCTTGGTTTCTATCATGAGTCATGAGCTTGGACGAGGCTTCTACACCTCAGCAAGTCTAACAGAAGGCAGCATCTACTTGCTTCAGCGGGAACCGGAATTCTGGACATAGTTTGGGGCAATCTTTGTTGCCGTCGCTTCAGCGACGGCGTCGTTTAAGGTCCAGGAGCACCAGCGCAGTGCTGCCAGAAGGTACGGGGTGAAACGCCTGGAAGCTGTGAAGCCTAGAAGGGACACCGGTGACATCTACATGCGCACTCTCCTTACTGGGAGCTTCACCATGGTCTTTCAGGCTTGTACTCGTTCTGAGCCGAACCATCGGTCTCAGCACAGGAAGTCTTATCCTGTTCATACTGGAAAATGCACATTTAGCTGAGTCGTACAGCTTCTAGCATCACGATTTCTCTCGCCTGCTGAGAACGACAGTTCGAGTCCATGCCGTGACAAGTAGGTGTGCAGAGCTGAATCACTCCGCCTGCGTTGCCTGCAGGAACACCGACCACTGGCAGTGAGAAGACACTGGAATGAACTATTACCATGTCTATGGAAGCATTTACTAAAGCCGGGCAACAACCATGCAGCTTGACGCCAACGGACTTCCACATCTAGTCACTCGTCAACGATGCAGGGCTATTTGGAGAACAAATCTCCGACGTCCTGAACCCGAGGCCAGTGCCGGACTACGGTTTGGCAGCAGCACCTCGGCAACCGAACCGGGTTTTGAGGAACTCTGACATCGGTCCTGTGAATGTCAGCATGACAATCCACAGGAGGATCGAAACATCAAACGTTTGCCAAGTCTTGTCTTCTCAGCCCAGGACAGGCGATGGTGAGGACATGTCACTCTCTCCTGCACGGAGCCACAAGAGAAGCCCCTCAAGGCCGCCCAGAGATGGCCCTTGGGTGACTGCCCACCTCCTGCATCGGTCCCGGAGCAGCTGTTACTCTTCCGGAGAGCCTGGTAAATACTCGGCTTCTCAGAGAATCCGCTGAAGGTTGTGATCATGACACTGCATCCGGTCTCGTGGTGGCGCCATGCATTCAAGCGGCTGTGTTCAGTTGTCGCTCCAGCACAACAAAACACATGGGTGCCCACCCTTTGCACCGGAAGCCTCCCACGTGTTCGGAAGGGAAATGCGGGGCAGGCGACCTGCCAAGGCTTTGGGGTGCCGGCACAGCACGAGAGAAGACCGCAGTGAAGTACCCCTGCCCAAGTTTCCGACGGCACACCGACTGAGGAGCGGTCCGTTTGCTGGAAGACGTCGGGCGACTCGGATCTCACCTTGCTCCTGCATGATGCGTGCTTCGCCCTAGCAATGCCCGAGGTCGCCGTTTGTGTGTCTTGGAGCACAGCCGTAGCAGCCGATGTGAGCACTGCAGGAAGGGGGCGGCCGGAGTTTCCCGATCCGAGCTCACCGAGCTGGTCTCCGGTATTTCAGGGCGTGGTCCTCTGCTTCGGTGAGGGGCACGACTGAACCCGAGATGCTGGCCTGGGTGCTGAGTTTCCCTGGCTCAACTCTGCCTGTAGACTCACTTGTTGCCCTCATATGAGACGCAGGCTCGGAGGCTTCGAAGAAGCCTCATGTGCAGAGCGCTACAAGTACGAGGCATGACCGAGGTCCAAATCAAGGCCAATTAAAGGAGAACGACGAAAGTAAAGTTTGTTGACAAGTAGCAGTACATTATACCGTGTGTCTTTTGCAGGTTCCTGCTTCGTCAACAAATGGAACAACAGCAAACAAGCCAGGGCAAACCGCCCCTACACGCCTCATACCAATACCGATTTAACGTGTGTTACTCAGCGCCTTTAGCACCATCTAACTCCAACTGATATTTTACTTAGTCATAGTTGCCCACATTCCGCGTACTACTCGCCTCTGACCGTCTCTTGCAGGCTTGTCCTACCGCTCGGTGGCCTTAATGCTGATTCCCAGCATATCCCAAGAAGGAACCGGGCCCGCCTGGCCGGACTACCTGCAGCCGTGCGCTGCGCCACCTGTGCGAGGTCAGGGCCCCCGACCCCAAAGACGAAGGGTCAAGCTTTCGGTTTCAGCCCTGGGCCGTTTGCTGGCTGCTGACAGTTCGAAGATCCATCGGTCGTGTTTGCTGGTTTACAGCGAGGATCATACCCATGGTCGATCTTCGGGGGTCCGTGTCACTCCCTGCTGCTTACTCTGCCGCGCCTCCCCTCTTGGGGTCCGCTCAGCTGGCAGCGGCCGGAAGCCTGTGAGGGCCTTTGCCGGAGACAGAGCGTGAAAATCAACTAAGAGTTGCGAAAAACCGGCTGCTGGTGCAGTCCGCAGCAAAACTACAGAAAGCCCGGCAAAGTCGATGCCTGACTGATGTGGCATTTTAACAGAAGCACGTGCAAAAATGGTACATGTCTGCCTGTCTTATCAGAGCAACATCGAAACTGCAACATGAACATGGCCTTCTTCGTCTCGGAGCCATCCACTGTCCGAGGCCGCCGGCGCCGAGGTGCAGGTTCAGAACTCCGCCTAAAGCAGTTTCTGGCGGGTCTGGGTTTAGGTGAGTTGGTGCTCCTTCAGGTAGAGGTAGTCGCAGCGCTGTTCGACATGTGCAAACGGCCTGGCCGGCGCTGACGGCGCGGTCAACGGTGGCGGCCTCGCGAGCACAATGATATCTCTCTGAAACCTTCCGGATTTTGGGGACAAAGCGGTTGAAAAGTCAACGGATCACACCCGAGAGGTCCAAGAAGCTTGGCATGTGACCCAGTTCACTGAATAGGCCGTGCCGCGGCAGTGTCAAGACAGCAGGAAGCATCGAAGCCGTTGAGCCGCGCAGGGCGTTCCCATAGTGAAGCCTCTAACCTGGAACCAGAAAAGTGGATCCCGTGCCGGCCAAGACCTCAGCACCAGCGGCGTTGGAAGTGAAGAGACCAGCACCTCCATACAAAGGTTGCACATGCACTGTTCGTGATAATCGTAACAGCATGAACACGAATTGAAAACTTGCAAGTCGTGGGTTGACTATCGAAGCCTCCACCTCTCTGGCTCTCGCCCGCTGTTGGATCTCTGTTTTGGCCTCATCGGGAAGCACGCCCCTTGGCCGTGGCCGCTTTGTCGGCCGACGAGCCTGGCTCTTGGAGGATTGTTAGGCCGTGCAGGCTTGGCTTGGGAGGACTGGGGGAGGGAACCAGCATCGCTGCTGTAAAGCAACGACAACCAAGGGCTCGACAGGGAAGAAAAACTAGCAGCTACAGGTAGCACAGTCCGGAACACTAATTCAGCCGTCCATCTACAGAACGGCCACACGGCCTGGATGTCCACAGCCGAGGCATCGTTGTCCATGGCCTGAGCACAGCTGCAACAATCCCGAAGCTTGCCAGCGGCGGGCACAGTCTCGGTACGTTTCTGTCGCCCTCTACGTGATCTCCCCTCTCTCTTGAGATGCCACCAAAAAGGGCTTTCGGCTCGATGCTGCCAAAATGCTGCCAAAATTGAGGCCCTGTCTGCGTCTTACACAACTGGAGCAAGGTTTCTTCATGGCGCCTCGAGGCGAGCGAGCTGCAGCTGCCCAGCCTGCGGTGACATGCAACGGCATGCTCCAGGCTTCCAGGGTTCATCAAATTCTGACTGAATCGCTTCGTGTGGCGCAAATACAAATCTCATCAAATCTCTCATGGCAAGCTCTGGCATCCCAACTCGGCGCTGTCCTTCAGCAAGCGGTCAAAGTCCTCCTCGGAAATCTCGTAGACCTCATCTTCCACCTGCAGGCTGTTGAAGCGAGAGTCATGAACGACCGGCACTGGGTTCTCTCTACATAGCGAGAGAGAGGGAGAAATGTATGTGTGTATAGACATATATGTACACATCTCATATCTGTGTAAGAGGTTGTTACCATGCCGCCAAGCTCAAAATCCTCAAAAATCCTTAGGTGGCTACTGCGAATACATCAAAGTTCCCAAAAGCATTCCCATAGAGACTGCGGGGCCATGGCTCTTCAGATTTTTGGGATGTGTGGTGATGGTTGGTTATTCTCGATGCTTTAAGTTCAAGATTTAGGAAGATTGGGGAACTTAGAGCCCCGCCGATGTTTTCGCGTTGTAAGTGCACCCCATTCCTGTCAAAAGAACCTGATTGGAGTATGGGGCGAGCTTGTATACACATCTAGTAAGAGTGTGTGTGTGTGTGTGTCTGTATGTGTATGTATGTACATATGTATATGTACATATATGTATGCCTGTATGCCTGCATGCATGCATGCATGCATGCATGCATGCATGCATGCATGCATGCATGCATGCATGTATGTAGGCATGTATGCATAGGCATATCCATCCATCCATCCATCCATCCATCCATCCATCCATCATTCTTCCCTGCATCCACCTACATATACATACTAACACACGGAAGACCAAGAAGACAGACAGCCAGCCAGGCACACGGACAGGACTGACGGACTCACGAACGGCGGACTGATGGACAGCCGCATAAGCGTGCATACAATATATGATATGTATGCCGGTATACGCATGCAGCATGCACAATGATACAGACGTATACACAACACATCGCATGTACGCATATCTACGTTTTGACAGAGGGATGCAAAACGGCTCACATACTCAACTGCACGTATATGACTGCGGATTCTTTTTAACTCCCTACTAGTACCTCGAACTTGAAATACTCAATAGAGCTCCATGGCCAACCGCAGCAAGGCCCCCGCCTCGCTGGCACCATCGACGGCACCCGAAAGCCAAAGCCTGATGCGATGGAGCTTCTGTGCTTCAACGATAGCCTACCTCTGTTGGAGTTGGCCATGCACAATTCTACCTATTGCGGAAATTGGGATACATGATGCTAGGTCAAAAAGCCACCCTGACCGGCCGGAAGGCACCATGCATGGGTCCACTTTAGGGTGGTAAAAGCTGGTGCTTGGAGTTTGGTGACGCATTGCAGGATGCATTGGACACGGCTCTGAAACTGGTCAGGCCTGTGACGGCGTGTGGCTCGGGTCTGGGTTTGGGCTTGCAGTGTGCAGATTTACTTTCGCCGCCACATTCTAATTTTAGAAACACTATACTGAGAGATTGTCATGGTGAAAGTTGGCTAACCTGTCTTGATGCATTTGCTGCACTGAAGTCAAAGCTAATCGCCAAAGCACGTTGTCTGAGCAACACAGACCCCTGCATCAAAGCTTCGTTGCTTAAGGCAACTTATTCACAAAGTTGGCCTACCTAATTTATCGCTTGGGGGCTCATCATTTTCCTGAAGTCTGATCTGCATTTGGGGCATGGTACGGAAATGCAGATGACTCTGCTTTGTCTTGGCCTTGGCTCCGCTTGTGCTTATCTTTGGCTTGGTGGGGGAGAACGTTTGACACTTTCCGCTTGTTTTAGGCGACAAGTATTGAGTTCGTTCGTGGCCACGCAACTCGCCTCTCGAACTCCTCTTCTGTAACTTCGTAGAAAGGAGTCTTGGCCTCAGCTGAAGTCACGGAAGCGTCGGCACAAATCATCGGATGCCGTGCATGGCTCATCCAGTGAGGTCGACTGGGCGTCAGTGCAACCTGAATTCAAGGACTCCAGTTTTGCACCCGCTAACCGCTTCCGCTATGCAGAAAAACCTGTTCACTGTCTCGGTCTCGGCACGAGAGCAAGGTGAGCAGATCGCGGAAGCACTTGTTGGTGCTGTATTCAACCGGTTTTTGCCAGGGTCTTTGCCTGGCAAGATTTTAAACTATCGGGCTTCGGCTCCCGAAAGACAGCACTTCGGCCGTGGATAAGTTCCGGAGGCTAGGACTCGCCTTGCCAGTGACAGAGGATACCTCCGAAGCTATCTGTGGGAGAGGAACCTCCATCGGATTGCAGCAATGGAAGCAGCAGATCACGGAATAATCATCGAAGCTCGGCCTTGGCTTGCTTATCAGCCATCAACAAGCAAAAGCTTGCCTCACCGACAAGCCTCCGTGAAACGAGACCAGGTGCGGCGTGGGTTTCGCGAAGTCCAGCTCGGACATGTGCAGGCGCATCTCCTCTGTGACGTAGCCGGTATTCAGCCAGAACGAGCAGAGTTTCACCTGCCAGGAATCGGCAGCTCGTTGATGCAACCCTCCGATATCACAAGGAACCCGGCCAACACAGAGCATGGTCGTGGAAACTGGACAAAGACGAAGAGGAGAGAGGTTGATGAGACAACGGTTCACATTGAAATTGAAAACAGTAACTCAGACTGGTCGATCCCACTCTCCCCCCTCGAGAAACCCGACATTTTGAGGCGCAAGGCCGTTTCAGCGCGACCGCAGCCGCAGAACTCCTCCCAACGCGCTCCTTAGAGTTGCTGGACGACTGCTGGCACCCCTGCAGCCTTGGGGCTCATGAAATGTGCGGTGACTGCGGATGTGAAGCCTCCAGTCTTGGCCTTTTTGTTGCTCACAATTTTTTCGAGCAGCTCAGGATGACATGAAAGTCCGCGGGGAGCTCCGGCCCGTCCAGCTCGAGGACCTGGTGCTTTGAGCTTAGGGGCCAGAGTCTGTAGAGCATCTCGGGATCCCCTAATCGGGCCAAGTGGGGACAAATAAAGAGCTTAGCGAAGTGTTTTGGGGGGGTTGGGGTTTAGCGTGTTCGCATAGGCTTAGAAGCAGCGGTTGGCAGAAACGGCATCTCAGAAACACCGGCCACGAAGCACAGAAACATCATGTTCGCACGTTTGCACATAACTTGGAAGCTGCAAGCCGCCGCCCAGGACACAATAGCTGTCAATTGATATGTCTATCTCGATCTGTCCATTTATCTGGCTCTGTGCATCTACACCTCCAGCTTTCTATTATGCGAGACCATCGATAACAGTGCAACATACTGCGAAGCACCACAACCCTGTGTGCTTTCTGGGCACCAGCAAGCCCTCTTGGAGGTGGCTTGACTCCGCCTCTGAGTGGCTGTCCTCGCAAGGCTCGAAGCTTCAGCCAAACAGGATTACGCAAACCAGGTAAATGGGCCCCCAAGCACCGAAAGCTCTGACAAAAGGGAAGATGGGCTACAAACCTGAAACCCTGAACCTTGGACCTTAAACGGAAGTGGGCGGCAAACCCTTGACGAAAAGATGGGCCCAGAACCTACAGTGGCAAACGCTAATAAACCCAAAGAGTGGTTGGCTCTCAAACAGATGGTGCGCAGGAAACCCGAAACACCAAAGTTAACAGGGCGGACTGGCTCCCACAACCCTAGTAGGGGATGATACATCATCGCAATTACTGGATCATCACCAACAAACGGGTCCAAACCTAAACCCTAAATTGCACCACCGAAGACCCAAAGGGTTGAAGCCAAACAGAGCAATACCTGATGTCGACTTCAAGAGCCCACATGAAGGGAGACAACACAAGACAAGCGTTGAGAACTCGGCCATCTCACAAATCAAGGGAATCACGGGGCTCTGGCCTACCCCAACCGGTCCCAATTCACTTGGGAAGGACTGGCTACTGACCTACTACCTGCTGAACACCGGGCCTACAGTATAAGCTGTTGACAAGAGTTGCTTCCGCAGATTCTTAGGGGAATAAACAACACCCCTGACTCACAAGAACACAAATCCCTAGAGTGAGCTTTTCAAGACTCAAGGGATATAAAGGGAGGCATGCGCAAATAAAAAACCGACATTGGCCACCCCACCGGTCCTAAATGAAGGGAGAGAAGGTTATACAAAGAGTCGATGTGGGAAACCCCCCCCCCACATGAAGGCAAACAGGGCGAAACACGGGAAGACAAGCGCGTCGAAAATCACAGCGATGGCCACCCCCCTGGTCCGAAATTAACAAAAACCAAACAAGAATAAAAGTAATGTGTCTTCTTGAAGCTGTTTGCACCCGTCTTCTCCTGTTGGTTAGTCCTGTTCGATAGAACAAGTTATCGGGTCTCCTTCGAGCGGTTTGTTGCTGCTTCTCTTTTTGAAATTCTATTCTTTGTCTAATTCTGCTCCTGTTTCTCAAATTTGCTGGTGATGTTCGACGGGTTTGCACCACCTTCTCAAGTTCTCCTCTGTCAAACTCTCGGTTGATTTGCTCATGTTTGTCAAGTTTGGTTTTCTCCGGTGTCTCAAAGTATCCCGGTGTGCCAAACTCTTTAATATCGTTCGAAAGTCTTGTGCATGTTTCTCGCAGTTTCTACTCCGTTTCAACTGGCTTTCTCGTCTTTTTCTTCTCCTCATTCTCACGTTCCTAATCTCTTTTGAACATGTGGCTCTTGCCGCCCAAACTTTCTAGCCACTTCTCGGCGGGTTGTTCCTCTTTCTCAAGTTATCCTCTCTTCGACTGGTTGGCTTCTGCTTGTCGAATTTGATAGCCCCTTGCCACTGGCTTGCTCCTATGTCTGCGAAGTTTTTGACCACACCTGAATCTTTCCCGAGCCGTTTGCTACTGCTTCTAGACTTCTAGCTCCTTGTTTTCTGGAGTGCTCCTCGTTCGCAAACACTCTCTCGTTTCTCTCAAACGGTTTATCCGTCTACTTGTCGAACTTTCTTATCCTCTTTCAACGCATCTGTTCTCGTTGTCAAATTGTCAAGCTGTCTTGTCTCTTTCCAAGGGCTTTGTTCTGTATATCTAGATCGATATCTATATCTATGCACGTCTGTGTGCATGTACGACGTATGCATGCATTTGCATGTGTCCATACATATATGCCTATACATCTCTGAAAGTTTTGAAAAGTACATTCTGCGATCCAAACGTAAACTTTCCTCCACACTGACACCTGACTATGCATCGTCAGCAGGTTCTGACCTCGTCTTCGATGCTTTCTGAAAGAGCCGTCCAGGCTGACTGCAATAGCAGCCGGCGGTCCACATCGAGGACCTGCACCTGCGAGACTGAGGTCTGAAGTACTGTGCGCGAGATGACACATAATGCGCATAGATTATGTCATGGAGCATGGCTTTGGACAAGAATAAAGACGGCGAGTTGTAGTGACTGGCGTGACATCAATAACAGTAAGATCTGCCACCTCTGCCAAGCGGTTTTTTACACAGGATTGTGTCATTCATTCCCCAAAAAACGTGCAGACGCCCGGTCTCCTGTATCGAGCATCTGCTGCACCGCCCCGGAGACACTATGTTTTCAAGACACACCTGAGCAGACTGCGACGTCAAGCATGTGAGAATGTCAGGATTCGGAACCTGGGGCAGAAGCGCAAACACGACAGCCTCCAGACAAGTCTTCTTGCCGAGAAGCCCTCTCCAGGTAGACTGTCTCCCACTTTCGCAGGCGTCGCTCCCGGAGACACTGCTCGTAGTACTGCACATACCTTGCTGGGGGGGGAGGCAGAGCCAGATGTTCAGAAATAAGTCCCCGGAGCTTCGCAGGAAGGCTTTGCACCCTTCAGCCCGGACCCAAACCATCAGAATACCTGACTCTTTCGAGGTTCCGTATCTGGCTGGGGATGGTCACGCCCTTGTGGTTGTGTGTGCGGCGATCTGCATAGGTGGAGAGAGCCTGCATTCAGGCGGGTGAAAGTCGTCCCTAGATCTGCCCGAGCGGACTGTTGCACACAGTGTGCCTGAGTGTTTCACTTCGCGTGAGTTGTCCAGGAGCACCAGGCTCATGCAACTTGGGCTCTTGAAGACACGATCACAAGTCCCTGTCGAGCCTCGCTGGCAGTCATCTCCAAACCTTTTCAATGGACATTTGCGTTGCACAAAATCAGACAGACGCACACTCATACACATTATCACACACACACACACTCACAGAGACACAAACAGAGCCCTTCAGGTCATGAGGCTTGCGAAAACATGAAAGCGGTGTCGATGTTCCCAGTTCCCCGAAAGTCGCTTATACTTAGACTCGGATGGCACTCACGCCTATGCCCTGGACGGCAAATCGCACCTTCGATGCTTCTGCCTTATGCCTATGCCCTGCACGTCCCGGGAAGTGCTATGACCGGCCTTCTCTCAACAGTAGGCATGTGCAGACCAGGCCCGTGCGGCCTTTGCCGGCCTGCCAATGCGAAGGGGACAGGAAACAAGAAAAGTGTGGGGCCCGGGAGCCGATCGCGGCAGAGGTGTGCAAGATCAAAAGATCGCCTTGCAGTGGATAACCACCACTCTGCCAGTGTCTGAAGACAAGTACCTGGCAGGACCGTTCCGACGTGGCGTCGTAGACTCACGCCCATATTCAGCCCAAGCTGCCTGTGCTGGTCTTCGACAAGCTCAAGCAGTTGCTCCAGGGGGCAAGGCGTGTGGTCGTAGAAGCAAATCCTGCAAGCACTGAGCACTCTGCAGGATGCCAAGTCCTCCCCTTCCTTCCCTGCCGCTGGCCTGGTCGAGACCTCATGAAAGCTCTTCTCATCGTACCTGCCGGGCAACAGCGAAGGGGCCAATGAGGCTGTCACTCGCAACTCCTGCTGACAGGCCTCCTGTCAGGTTCCCGGCAGAGGTTATACACCTCTGCGGGGGTGCGGGTCTTGGACCCCATCCGACAGCGACTGAACAAAAATGGCGGTTGTCGGCATTTGCAACACTTTCAAACAAGGCACCCTGTGATCTGGATGATGCTGGTTCAGGAAGCTGCGCACCTTCATACTCAGAAGATAAAGGAGAATCAAGTTTAAACGAGAAGATCCGCAAGATCTGCATGTTGCCCTCACCGGATGTCCGCCCGACTTCTCAGGCCTCTGGAAGAGGATTACGGAATCTCGCCTCTCAAGGGGCTCCAGCGCTGCAAAAAAAAATCCGAGCGTTACCGGGCCAGGCCTCCAGATCCTGCGCCGGGAAGCTCATGGCAAGGATCCTTTCGGAGATGTAGCTCAGGTCCTTAAAATTTCCGAGTCTCAGTAGCTGCGATGCTTCTGCTACCTCCCTGAGTTGCAGAAGAAACCACAAAGATTGCGGAATAATGGAGACCAGAACGGAAGCTACCAGAAAAGCCTTGCGCAGCTGCCAGACATCTGCAAACACCGAAGCATTGCTCTTGAATCACGAGACGCGTAGATGAGCAAGGGACCGAGGCTTGGTACAGCAAGATTCACTTCTGCCTTTTGCATATTATTCTCAACCTTGCCGAGGATCCAGATCGAAGCCATCGCTACAGTAGCGCTTGCGCTTCCTTGTGGCACCAGCAGGCCCAGATTTCGAGCTAAAAAGTGCGTGCTTTTGTGTGCGTGTGCGAGGGAGCGAGTGAAGCACAAGATCTGGCAAACCTGGGCCCAAGAATCGCCAACTCCAACCCGCTATTGCAGCCCCACTTCCGCGAGAAATCCTTGCACCACAGCGAACCATGCAGATGTTCACAGACAAGCTGCTGCGAAACAGTCCGCCGTGCCAGTCTCTGACAGGCGAGCCAGGAGTGAAGGATCAAAGCAGACCTCTCACGCCAAGGCCAAGGTGATTTGGCCGTTGGATGAGGAGGGAGAAAGGCGACCCTTGCAGACTAGCCATGATCTGAAGTCCTGAAATCGAGCCAATGAATCAACATCAACATGGCCATGCTGCCTGGGAAGAATCAGCGCAGTCACCTTGGCTTCAAAGGCTTAGCTGGCTCAGGGCGCAGCACTGCCAGCCCATCTTCCGAGGGCCTCAATTGAACTTTTGCTGTGCTTTGGCCGAGCCCAGGCTTCGTGGTCGGCGTGGAAGCCACTGGAGAGACTAGTGACTATGACTGTGCCGACCAACAGCACCGTGCATCCCATGCACACCACGTCTACAGGATACAGCAAAACGTGCCAAGATGCGAAGAGCACCCAGTACAAAGAAACCATGTGTAACCTGAAGCGAGCAGTTCAAGCACGAGGAAGGGATGCAGGCTGCGGACTCGACTACTTTGGAAGGTCATGAGCTCCAGCGTGGAGGCTGTAGGTAGCTCCAGAGACCGATGGTCTACGACCCACTGCGAAATCCGCTTGCAACATCCGATAGCTTCAAGACACCAAGAACCTGCGAGAATCAGCAGTTTATAGTTTTGCAAAGGTACTAGATGCGGCACAGGCTGACGTCACAGACTCGCACGAATCCATGCCGACCGGCTGCGAGAACAAGTCCTTCTTCTCCAGGAGGACGAAAACAAGCACCAACACAGCTCCTGTCACAGCTTCAAGCAAACAAGCAACCAGCAGCACAGATGGAGGAGAATGAGCTGGAGAGAAAGAGGTAGCTAGATGGAGTGAGAGACGGACAGAAAGAAAACACAACGAAAAGCATGAGCAACAAAGAGAGGGATAGGGACGACGACCTCCGTGGACTACCTCGGCTTTCGGGACCCTTGAAGATGGATCTCGGCATCCCACCAGCTGCAGATTCGGGAGAAGCCCCAAACTGGCCTGCCAGCTTCACGAAGCTGAGGGTGACTTCTACCCGGACCTCGGATGTCCAAAAACGCTGCGACTTGTGACCACTTTGCTTGGAGCCGAATTTCCGTGCATATAGTGCATCTTGGCCTGCCTATGGTCATTCCGTACTCAGCCCCACTGCAAACCCAACGATTTTTGGCAGTCAGCTGACCCCAATTATATTCCCCGCAAACTATGTGCCGAAAAGCGCTAGCCTCCCACCCCCCCCCCCCCAGCCCCGTTTCTGCATTTAGAACCGAGGGGGACCACTGCGAAAGAGATCACAAGAAGCCAAAGTAAAGTCTACACCGAGTCCTTAAAGTCCTGCAATCAGAACGAAAATCAATCACGCAAGATGGAGGCGATTGAAGCAAGACCCTCAAGGTGAGCACGCTCAAAAACAATTGCCAATAAGAGGTGAAGCGCAACTGGAAACCCAGAGTTAGCAAACAGACCGGGTCATTCTCTTCTGAAGGACAGCATGCACGACTCCACAAGCATCGGATTCACCATATGCACAGAACATGGAGAAAAAACACATGCATCTACTAACTAGTAATTACAATCCTGAGAAGACCTTGTGGCCTCCCTTCAGGGTATGTTCTCTCGATGTCACGTGGCTCCATTCTTGCCCTGAGTGCCTTCGGGGCCAGAAACTGTGGCCCAAACACTATGTGGAGCCAGGTTGCGCAAGAGAGCTTCCAGAATTTGTCAGCTCCGAAGATGACTGCACACAGAGTTCAGGAAGACGATGCTTCAAGAACTACATCTCGAACCTTCCTTGCTTCGGAAATTGCATGCTCCAGAGATCGAGGTGTGAAACCGCAGATGACCCAAATTTCTTCACCTACACTTGACCCTTCAAGCACACGAATGGCCTCGGCAAGCGACGACGTAGCCGTTGTGGATGAAAGCCTTCGCTCAAGCAGCACGAGAGGCAGAGGCGAGTCCATCTGGCCAAGTCCCAGGCCACCAACAAGTTCGCGATGGCAGCGTCCTGCTTGTGCCATGGAGGGCGAGCCGGCTTTGGCAATTTCTGCTGCGACGGAACTTGATTCTTACCAGTAAGGCGAAACCCATATTCTTGTTTTCTCAAGCTGGGCCGGTCCATCAGCGGAATTCTTCGGAGGCCAAAGGCCTCCACGGCAAACCAGACATTGAAGAGGCTCAGGATCCTTGGAAGGCGAAAAACCCTCAATGAAGGGGAGTTGAGGATTCTTGACAGCGTCGTTCAAGAAGAAAGCTCCAGCCAGTATCCCGTGGCCCTTGAGGCATATCTGCCCGTTGGCATGGCGCGGCTGTGAGAGAGAGAGAGAGAGAGAGAGAGAGAGAGAGAGAGAGAGAGAGAGAGACAGAGACAGACCGAAGTTTCAGAAACCCGAGTCGCGTAAGGCCGACCAAGGCCGGTAGGCTCGTGATCCATCTCTCCTGAACCTCGAACTCAAAATATGCTCGGTCATCCTCGTCCTGTCAGGCAACTACAGTGACTACGACCTTGAAACGGTGATCGCTTCACTCCCGCCCCCGGCGGGTCCTCCGTATCCAGCATGGGATGGCGGAGTGCACAACGCAAACATGGAACCCTCTTGTTGTAGGTGTAAAGTCTGACTTTTCTCAGCTCCGTAGACTCTTTGCTTCTGAAGTTTCCTCTGAACCGCTGGGCTGGTATGGTGTCCTGTTCTACTCAGCGGCTAGCAGGCTCGCATAGGGCCGCAGGAAGCAAGCGAAATTCACACTGCACGACATCAAAAGGGGCCCCAGGATGTCCAGGCAGAGAGCGATCTCCAAGCTGAATACTCATTCAGTACTTAGAATATCTCAGAACACAACATGGCACTTGGCTTGCCGTCTGATGCAAAGAGCCAAGCTCGGGCTTCTTCTGGTGCGATCCCTGGCACGAAGAGCACCCGGTCAGTCTCAAGACTGTTGAGCTTTGAGGCTTTGGGGTTCAGAGTTTGGGGCTGATGGCTTTAGGGTTGGGGGGTTTGGTGCTCTGAGTTTGGGATCTGGGTAACTGTTGTCGCTCACAGAATCCCTGCATATCTCCTGTTGCGCTGTCCTCCCCTCAACCCCTAACTTCGATGTTGCATCCCCATCAGGTCATGCAGGATTTGGGGCATCCCCGTAAGCCCTTGTTTTAGCCCCCGTCCCAGTGCAATATCAAGATTACGGGAAGCGGCGAGGCTTTAAGGCATCAGCAGTGCTTCAAACTTCAGCAAGCACTACTTTGCGTCCTGCTCCGCTGTGCAGGTGCCGCGGGAGACTAAATGCAGCCTTCTACATGGCCTGCTGTGATGTGTCATGACATACTTGCCTGGTGTGAACAGTGCCTGTGAGCAGCTGGGATGCACGGAGCCGCCGCGCCTGTCCCAGCATCCTCCTTCGAGGGCCGCAGCGAGGCCGAGGCTGCACCTCCGCACAACATTCCGAACTCCATGCCATCGCTCAAAGCGCTTCGGCCGCCACATTTTGACGTTTACCCCGACGTCCGCTCTTTGTCGGCGTGTCTACACGTGTCCTGGGTCTAGCTACTGGTTTTGCGGATGATCGCCGCGGCGGCATCTTTTGCATCTCGCTAGCTATCGCCCAAGATCTCGAAGGAGATTGAGTCGCCCCTCTCAGCTCTTCGGCAGAGCTCTGCCACCTGCGACAGGGTTCTAAATCCAAAGGATCCAGCTGAAGTCAAAAACGCTCCTGGCATGCCAGCATCGCTTTTTTGCGGCAGTAACTTGCCGTCGGTCGTTTGTCACACTCGGACACAGGAGTTGAGCAAGTCGGCCCGTAGGCTCAAATGGCCCGACTACAAAACTACTGTTGATGATATTAATCCTGCATTACCTGAAGGAACCTAAACTATCGGAATTATGGTCCATTCCTTATTATGGGTCATGCAGGATCTATATCATCAACCGTACTTAAATTATGTACCATGCAGCGCCAGACTACGTCTGGTGTCTGCCAAACTTCTAGGCTCCAAGCCGCGACTCGTTTGAGACGGGACGTGGCCCCATGCATTAGCTTCGCAAGCAGGCTAAGAAGACTCTCCTAAAAAGCCACCTCCTCGAGAGGTGCTTCCACCTGTCGCAGGTAGTCGCCCTGCTCCAATTGCCGGAGAAAGGCATCATCTGTTGGGGACGGGCACAAACTGCTGCTGCAGTCTTCCATCGAAGCTTCGTCCACAACATCGAGCTCAGGCACCGCGTTTCGGTCTTCTTCCACCTCCGGATCAGTGTCGCTCCAGGAGCCACTTCCTCAAGTCAGCTTTATGCGGAAGCCTGGAGACTTAAAGACAGACCCAAGCCACTAGCAGACAAGCAGCCTCCCTGCATCAGAAGTCCGGATGCCAGGCCCGTCTGGCGTTGTGAGTTTTGTTGAGTTTTGAGACTTAGGGACACCATGTCAAAGCCCATCGGGTTTGAAGGAACTTCATGCTCAGATCCCTGCTGAATAACACGTCCGTTTGAGACGACCTACCTTGACGCGTCAATGACACGGACAGCCGAAGATTCAACTCACCTCGCGGTCCAAGATCAGCTGCCCGAGTGCTTGGATTTTGTTCCTTGGGCGATGCAAGTCAGCTCCGAGCAACGAAAGGACTCCTCCAGCCCGGTGCGTTCGCGAGGCCAAGGCCATGTATCAAAACTAATTCCCGTTGAAAATATCAAGGCCTCACCGGTGCCAATCCGAGAAGCTCGAACTGGAGCTGCCCGATCGCGGAAATAACCCGGCGAAGTCGCAGCTCCTGGCAACTTCGAAGCACGGGGATGGCGCATTGAAATCTCTGGAGATGCAAAAGCCACAACGTGGGCAGCGCCAGTGCGCACAAATGCATGCTTTCCGGCCTTGAATTTGTATTATTATTCGCTTTTGCCGACGAGATAGTATATCAGCTCGTTTGTGCTGGCATGGAGGTTTCCACGGTGTCAAGTCTAGACTGCCGCGTGACATGGCGATGCCTCCATGTTCGGGCAATCCCCACCACACCAGGCTGACTCTGAGTTGATTTGGAAGCAGCAATAACACTTTACAACAAAGGGTAGTCTAGTCTACGGCATATAATGAGTGCTGTTGGAACAGCAGAATCGAATGATGCTATGAGCCAGCGTGAGACTCTAGCCTAACAAAAACAGCACAGTATGTAACAGATCGACGACATGCTGGTTATGTTCCCAGCGGTACCCACATGCACATAGCGGAACAGCAAATGAACATGTGAGATTTCACACTCACATTACCGGTGAAGACCGGACATTTTTACAGTTGTCAAGCATTTTGACTTTTACTAATCTTCAAAACGACGCCGATGCAAAGAAGCTGCTAAGACAATGACGGGGATTACACGACTTCCAGTCATTTTGTGTGCCGTAGGAGCTTAACTCGTTCGAGACATCGACCAGTATACCCGGGCACTGCATCGAAACCATCAAGAAGACTTGGAACGATCAGAACGGGAGATTGAGGAAGTGAAACCAAAAGTAATCCAATGCTAGATCATATACTGTTCCAGATGAGCCAAAAGAATAAGTGCCATAAGAATGTGTTGAACACCTGCTTGGGGATCACCAGGTTTGTCGATCACTAAAACAGTATTGCCAACACTAGTTTATCAGTTTATCTTATAGTATGACAGAGTGCCCCCAGCATTGCCCAGGTTTGGGAGAAGGAGCCGAACACACCCACCACGACCTTATGGAACGGTCTTATGGCTTAATCAATGAATTCAACCACTAGAAACGAACATGCTATGGACAGACCAAGCATGAGTGCAATCAGACACGAAGCCAGGAGAGAGAACAGGGAGAGGAATTATGCAAAGAATGCTGGGACATCATGGAAACATTCATAATGAGCAGCGCTTTTTATCATACCTGCCAGAGTCAGATCTGACTAAATGAAAGCAAACTAAACTACAACTTGCAAGCAGCAATTAAAGAAAAATACGAATGGAGAAACGGGAAATATGCAGACTATCAAACAAACCATTCCCTAATAGATTTGCCGATGAAGAAGGAACAACGGAACCGTAACCCCAACCCGAGAAGAAGTGTTCAATTACATGCATCAGTTCCTATTGGAAGAGCAGTTGGGTATGCTGGCATAAGCCAAAAAGAGACTACTTATTGAAATCCCTCGGGATAAGTCTGAAGAAATCAACTTCTAAAGAAAATATTAAGCCTATGACTGATACACTACGGGTTGAAAGCCTCATTGGATGATACAGATGACTTGCTATCTGAGAAGCGATGGTACAAGAGAAGTTTTCACCCCAGGAATCTAACGCTCCCCAGTGGGAAAGTTTATCGAGCTGGGCGTACATAACTTAAGTATCCGAAGGATGAATTAATTTCCATTACGACGCTAGCATTCAAATGGTTGTTAATGAGGTCAAAAGCCTTTGCAAGTCCATTGGAGAAAAGGCAAACAGACGAAACGAATATCACGACAGAGGAAGGAAGAGAGTGCAAGAACACTGAGCAACTTTTATAGTGCTTCCGACATGATATTATGACTGTGTCCTACCTTATCTGAGGTTGCCAGCTATTTCTGGCTCATGGAGTCAGGCTCAACAGGGTCTTCTTTCCCCGCTGATTATCCCAAGCCGTGTTAAGAATGGTTGTCTGCATAAGGAAGATCCTAAGGGTCCGGGTTTAGGTCTGTGGCATGGCCTAAAATAGTCATGCATTTGAGTTTCCGGTAAACGTGCGTGGGGTGTTTTTGTGTCAGGGTCTGGGCTCGGGTCTATCATGTCCCAGATGGCAGCACGGATGAAGTCGTGTCTGCCCTCCGCCGTTCTGCTATCGAACAGAGCGCACGACATTCTCCGCAGCCTCGTTAGGATCGTAGCATCGCGCATGCATCAAGTCCTCGGCTTCTGTGCACCAGAACACTACTGGCCTGCTGGGAATGAACTCATACGAACCAAGATGCGAAGCGAGCAAGCTTCTGCAACGCATTGTGGCTGAACGGGAAGACCTGAGCTTTAGACAAGCGCGCCTCGGTTTCCGAAAGAAACCACTGCTGCAACACTCTCCATCCCAGGTGCCACCAGCCGTGTGAGGGCGGTCTGCAAAGACCTCAGTTCAGATCGAGCCGAGCCGCTGCACTGGTGCGAGGTTTCCTGTCCAAGGCCGAGAAGCATGAAGGACAGGAGGACGCAAAGCTCCCATGCACACCAAAGGCGCGATGGGTATGTATTTCCGCATAGAACCAAGACTTTGCCTTGGGCGGTATGGTTTTGATGGACGTAACTTGAGACCGTCCGCTTCCTACTTGTTCATCCCAGCTGCTACAAGCCATGACATTCACCGGCAGGACTCGGAGTCCGTCCTCGACGCTGGTCTGATCGATGCAGAACCTGAGCTGTGTGCTGAGCCTGCTGTGGGCATTGAGGAATGCGGGCAGGATCTGAACCAGAAGCTGCGCATTTCGTGCCTGTGGTGGTGGATGCTGCTCACATGTGTTGATTCATCGAGACTGGCAGTCCCGCATGCTTCTAATAAGCTTCGAAGCTTCAGTTGCCATTCACAAGCCGCTCGGCTTGAAGCGAGCTTTTGCTGGTGACAGTCCGCTGTTTCGGTCTGGTTTGAGGACTGCCCTCTCTTCACGCCTGCGAGCTGCCACAGGCGAGATGCGGTCTTTGGTTCGTGGTAAACTACGAAGAATCCTCACTCAGGACCTCCTCCGCTGTGGTTGCGATCCCCGATATGAGTCTGCTGTACTGAAAGGGCTCACGCGCTCACCGTCACCCATGGGTTTCAGAATCTTCGAGAGGTCTCCGTTCTTGGCACTCAGATTTATCTAACACTCACCTCGTCGGCAGCAAGCAGCCAAGACACTTATCCACCCAGAAGGTTGGGTGCCGGCCGTGCCGGACGTAAAACTCCTCGGCGACGTAGCTGAGCGCTCGAAATTTTCGAGTGCCACTGTCGCTCCAGGAGTGGGAGACGAAGAAGTCGATGGTCTCACCCCGCCCCACCGGCCGAGAAAGCCTTGGTCGTCGTTGGTCTGTCTCTGTGTCCACACTGAAGGCTCCTTTCAAGACCAGGAAGCTTGAAGCCGGCGGCCCCGGCGTTCTCGGTCCAGAGCTCGCCGTACTGCTTCTTCCAGTCTATGCAGCGCAGGTTCTTCCGGCCGACCTGCTACAAGACGAGCATGCAGCAAGACGCACTTTCGGGTAAACGGAAGGCGCCTCCAGCAGCTGTGGCCACGGGATCACCTGCATGTGCTCGTCTTCAGGAACAGGGAAACGTGAACGGACCGACCCGAAGCAAATGAACCCTCAAGTCGCTTCTGAAGTCCGACCGAGCTTCCTGTTGCTTCCGGTCCACCCTGACAGACTGAGTGCTGAACTCGGGCTGGACCCAGAAAACGCTCCCGTCTTGCGAGACCTGCGCGACCCTGGCCCTGATGAAGTCAGGTCTTGACTCCATGTCCATCTCGGGCATCAGCGATGGCGGGGTTGCCAGCGACTCCGCCGAGACTGACAGCTTCGAATCCATTCCGACGGCGTGCGGGAACTGCCGCGGCTTGTTGTTAACGTTCGTCGTCTCCGCATCTGCCTGTAGCTCCGGGGTATCATGCCGCAGCCACCATGGCTGCCCCTTCCTGAGGTTGTTTCTTCCAACTCGTGTGAGGGACAACACAAAACGAGAACAAGCCTGAAAAGCGAAACACGCAAACCCGGTTGCCAGTTGGTCTGGTCTCTGGACGACGTACGAATCCAGAAGCATGGCCATAAAGGCACCACTCTGTAACTGGCGATTTCTGCTCTGCTCAACCTTGTTGCGCAGGACGTGGAAGAGTCGTCGTCGACCCACAAGGAAAACCTTGCAAGTTCACTCAGAAATGCGCACAGGCGCACGGACTGTGATATCAATCTCACAGACGGACACATAAGGAGGGGCTGGGAAGCATCATACAAGACTTGTGGTTCAACGGTAGACATACGAACGTGCGCATAATGATTTCTTGACCACACGTAGTGCGCGCTGGTGGCAACTGAGCGTGACTTTCACTGGTGTGCTCAAGCACATACAAGGCCAAGGCCCCAGAAACAGTGCCAACCCCGAATCGAGGCCAGAAGTGGGCGTTCGCCCACATGAGCTGCAGGAAACGTGAAGGCACATGTCTTGAGGGAAGATTGTGCAACACTGATGGACTCGCCACTTGGAGCCAAGTCAAGGTCGAGTCTCGAGAATCTGCGGCAGCAGTGTGACCGTCGCCATCCCGACCTCAAACACATTCACAGTCTCAAAGAGCGAGCGTCTGAGTGATTGCAAACTGAGCCTATGAGAGACAGTCGAGAAAACGCGGCCGAAGGACAGCCGCTGCAATGGCGATGTCCACTTGCCGGCCTTCATCCCACTGCCTTGCGCTCCAAATACCGAGCCCAAGGCCGAGTGCTTTTGAGGGGCCGACTGTGCCAAGTCCAAGAGGCTTCACCCCAGTCGCCAGGTCGTAGGCGCGGCAAGCAAAGTAGAAGCCACTGTAACCGCAGGCAAGGTGAGTAGCCACGTAGAATCCTCGGAATAACCCACAGTCAAGCAGTGCATCTAATACGAAAACCAACGACGTGCTGCCAAGGATCGGATAGTACTTGCGGCCCGCACCACCCAGAGCATCACGATCAACGCGCTTCCAAAGGCCGCAAACATGCCGAGAACGATTTCCGTCTTAGCTGCAGTCCAGTTGCAATTGCATAAGTGGTCTCGGTAGTTGTTCCCTTTTGCTACAAGTACATCAGCGAACGTGCGAAGACATTGTAAAACCTTCTTTGTGTGCTAGTTGCTAATGCCAGTATCTGGTGAAGGAGGAAGAATTGGCAATCGACCGGACACGGAGTCTGACACGACCGTGGCCGATAAGGCTGCACAGATTGTGTGCGAATCAAAAACCCTCTGAAATGCTAGCCAAACGACTGTTCCTGGTATGCCCGCCCTGGCAGCCGACAGGGGGACTGTATGCCAACGCGGATGGGTCAGAGCCCGCCACGCTAGGGTAAGCAGATTCAAACGCTTCCGAACTGATTTGTGACCATCTGCTTCGCACTAGACATCTGAACAGTCGGAGACATTAGTGGAGCCACATAGTTTCATATAATCTGATCTCAGCACCCGAAGCATCACAGCGTCAAGCTGTGGCAAGTCCCAAGCCTCAGACTGTCAACTGGCACGCAATGTTCGACCCCGTTCACTTAATCTCATGCAGCTTCATCCTGGGCTGAGGGACCGCTCCGACTAAGGAGATGCGAAACCTGCGACGTCATCCTTCCCCCGAAGATCCACGAAAGGCACCAAGCCAGATGCTTGACGATCTCTGCTTCTTGTCGCTTAGAGGATGATGTCGCATGTCCGGGCGACCCAGAACAAAGAGATCTCCCAATCTGATCATGCGGGTCTGCCGGACGTGACCCGAGCACAAGTCTTGCACAGGGTCTGCAATCCTTGAAACTCCACACATGCAGACTGGAAGCTTCGGGAGATGGGTGAGAACGACACTCTGTCTCCAGGCGGGCAGGGACATTGGTGACTACCAGCAGCAATACGAAAAGCTAGAGCGCATCGTCAGAGTAACGCCTTAAGCGTTAAACCAACAACAGGGAAGTAGCTTTGGCAGCCAACACTCTTCCATGATTGAGCTTCCTACATTGGTCCTACATCTTCTTGCCGTTCTTACCATACACACCCTGCCTCGCCATCCCATTGATGCTCGATGAGACCATCACGTCCAAACACCAGAACCTAAGCGTGGGCTTTTTGGCAACGTGGCGCCTACACTGCCTGCCCCAGATTGTGATTATCTGAGCAGCTCCAACAGCACGACCGAGGTAGGTAGAGGAAGAGACTGACCACGTCGAAGGAGCCCGAAAAATCCTGCGCTGCGCTGCCGGGACCCAGGAAGCACCTCTCTACCTTTGCTTTTGCTTCTTCGATGCTCTTCGTAATCGATCACTGCAGATATTATGTTTAATATCATTACCATTGGTCCTCTGCACACCAGCCCCAGGACTGTGATGACCGAGAGGATGCGGGGAATCGGGAGCTCCGAAACCCGCGTGGAAGCTGTCAACGCCTTTGGTGCTCAGAAGAAAAGCGGAGTGGTGAAACGGCCTGACATGAAGACTTCGCAAAAAGTGCGAGAAGCATAAGCAGCCTCGCTTGCTGTGCCATTGCGACAACAGACACAACCTTCTGAAGCTACCAAAAGCCTCGTTCATTCTGAAGCGCCTGCTTGCCCTCCATGCATGTTGGGCCAACATACCCTGTAAAGAAAGTGCTTCGCGTCGAGAACTTGGGGGAATGTCAGGTTACTATAGGTTTTCCTATTTTCTGCACGAGGAGCTGGAGGAAGCGCCATGAAGAAACACAGGCCCGGTCTGGAGTCGATGAAGCTGGCAATGTCCAGCTCTTCCATAGGGCAAGTAGATGCCTTCGAAGGCTAGGATAGTATCTTTCGAGGAAACGGTTTTAAAATGGAGTTTGCAAGTACAGAAACATGTCTTGAATCGCCTTTGGGGTCATCCTCACGATCCTGCACATACGAGGCCACGGGCCGATTGGCGGGGCCAGCGCCCGAAGATCAACAAAGCATGACTTGTAAACCCGCGCCGAGGGGCAATTGCGACGGTCAAGGCGCTGAGAAGCCAGGAAACAACGGAAAGAGCTGAAATCATCCATTCAGCAAGCCTGACGCCGGACATCACTTCACACCTAGTCGACTCAGCAATGCCTAAAGTTGGGAGTGTCCGACTCCGGAGGATGCTACAATACAGGAAATGAATTAACTTTCAAAATATTTTCAACAAACTTTCAAAATATTTTTGCGAAGCAAAATTCGATTTTTTTAATTTACAAAAAAAATACAAAACGGCCGGCCAAACCTGCGGTTCCTCTCCGGGCCACCCGACATGCCAGATTTTGTAAATACCTGGTATTTGTGGAGGATTTACAAAATATTTACGAAAATTTTACGAAAAATACAAATAAATTACGAAATTGTATGCAGTTTTTGTAAATTTTCTGTAAAGTTTTTGTAATTTTTTTTGTAAATCCGTTTTCGAATTCGTAAACCCAGTTTGAAAATATGTTGAAAACTCTTTGAAAAATAATTAAACCCCATGATCTGCAAACCCCTGCCTCATTTGACAGCATTCTGACAAATTCCCATGTCTTGATCACAAGGTTCGCAACAGGCACGCTGCAGAATCCTCCCCGAAAGTGCCAAGGTGCCGTCCAGGTGGGAGAAACCGCCAAAGAAGTTCGGCCAGAACGGTCAAGAGCACGCCGGAAGCAAGCATATACAACCTCTGCAACTTGGTTTCACGTCCGACTTGCATCCTGCCCACCCCACCCACTGATCAGCCCGTTAGGGTCAGCCGCAAAGCTCCTAAGGCGATAGTGCTGCTTTCAGGGCTTCCACTGGAAAACGCGTCGCTGAAGCACAGTGTCGAATTCGTTATCCGGGTGGCCCCAGTCGAAGCACACCATAGAATGCTCGTAGACGCTCGAGGGTCATGTGCAGCGTAAACTCCTGCGAAATATAGAACGACATAGCACCGTGACTAATCGTGACGACCGTGGCTCTCAAGGGGAGGCCAACCTTCGATGGCAAACAAGCGCCCCACCCTGGATCCTAATCTGGTGGGACGCATCACGAACACGCGACAGGGGGATGGAAACTTCCTTCTTCGAGTCTTCGTGAGAGCGTGACCCGATCCCGAGCCTCGATCTTCGCCTTGCTGGAGCCTCTGGAGCCTCTCGATGACGTCCCGGAACTTCGTCTCTCTACAGGAAGTGAAGCCACTCGAACCTGAGACAAAACCTACGGTCCTCACCTCTACCTGCGAGTCTACAGTATCATTTGGCACAGTCATCTTGCAATATCATACGTTGGTATACATTGTTTATTTTGCGAAAAGCTGCCATATGAAACCGTTGCCTGGGCACGGTCGAAGCAGCCAAGATCTAATACGCTTTCGGGCAAACTGTAGCTTCGCTGGCCATCCCAACAACACCCGTCCCACCCGAAAGAATCAACGGCGACAAGAGTGCACTCAGGAGTTTAACACTCGGATCACTCGCAACTCCTAGTCCGGAGGCCTGGGAGTCTTGATGAACAGCGCGGGTGGCAGTACACACAGGACAGACGGGACGCTCCCAGCGCATCCGAAAAATCCCTGTAAGACTGAGACCTTGTCAGCAGTACAGTTGGATTTGAACCATTAGCCTTTGGGGGTGAATACAAATATTGCTGACACTAGTCGGCAAAGTGTGTCATTGCGGGTACGACTTCGACAGGCTGCCAACATGCTTCCAAGAGGAATCAAAACTGAACTTCGGAAAACCAATTGCACCGACTCAGAACACAATCCATGCCTGCGTGGGCTACTAGAACCTGGCGAAATGTTGACAACAATTTGTGGCAACATCGATGTGTCACATGATTGGGAGTCTTCTTACGTCACGAATCGTGCATCTGTACCAAGAAACTCATAGCTATTCCTCTAGAAGCCGAATAACTGAGTGTACGAAGGTATTGGTACGTCCCTAGCAACATGCAATCTTAGCACCAGAGATGCTCTGGTTCAACTTTTGGCAGCCAATTCCAAGCGCGAAATGAAGAGCCGTACTTCAAAAGCAGGGAATCGCTGTTTACTACACTAGCAGGCAGCCTATTAAAACGAAGTCTGGATGCTTCGAGAAGACCTGGTTGGACCACACATCCCTCAAAAGACTCGCCAACACCCACCACAACAACAACCCACAAAAAACCAACATGTACAAGCCTCAGGGACATGTGCAACCGGTCTCGTTGCTTGGGTGGTTCCTCTGTGTGTGTGTGTGTCTCTGTGCGTAAGTTGTTGACCCTTGGGCTTTCGTTGACAACAGATTTTTCCGTGAGCGGGTAGAATCTAGGAGACCTTCGCCGACATGAATATCGAATGAGTTTCCAAAACTGCTTTCAACGAAAGGAAAACAGAAAGAGAAGATTACTGGAAGCAACCGAACTTCTGCAAACTTGCATGATAATACGTCGATGTCCTAGTCTGTCTTATACTTATTCTGCGTTGGCTGGTATTAAATCAAAACGAAGCCGAGAGGACCAGGATGTGATTAGGATGTGATTCTCCTGGAATCATTTAGCGTCGCATCCCAAATTCGACTTGACTGCCATTCGGGACGGGGGTGCTGGTGCGAAGACCGAAAAGCCTACCAGAATTAAGTCTTGCAAGATGCATTATGTTGTCATCAACTCCAGATCGTTCGTGCTCCGGAGAGCTTATAAAACTGTCGTGGCAAACTGGCAGGCACAGTCGGGTGCTTGGCCAACATTGACTTACAACTGCCGAGCCACGCGATTAAAAGAAACTTCTGCATGCTGCGTAGTTGGATCCCCTCGGCCAGGGCAGGGAGTCTAAGGACTCCGCACAGTGCAACTCCATGGAGAAACATGTAGCATTTGTCCAAAGGCCGAACTAGCCGTTCTGTGTGCTCGGTTCCCCGCCTACAGGCGAGGAAGGACCTGCATCGCTGATGGCAGCTGATACCCAGCTCTTCGCTCTCAAAAATTTCCTCAGGATGCACGGCGACTGACATGGAGGGGTTCATCAACACAAGGACAAAGGAACGAGAATTATGAACGGAGAGGACGTGCAGAACATGATCTTTCCAAGTACATGCCACATGCCTGAATGGAGGAGAAATCTGAAGCCTGGACATTGGACTTGCTTGCTGATCAATGCTGTCGCATCCAACTTTTCTAAAAACTGAAATGACATTGATGTACCATCATCAGCCAGGACTGATGTGCCTTCTACCCCAGACGGCTTAGAAGTCAAGGAGTCGCTGCACGCCCTGAATCCAAGTGCAGCACGTGCTCAAAGGCTCTTGGGATACCTTAAGCCTAAGAGTCTCAGACGGATCAAAGCCAAGCTTCGAAAGGCCGGGTGAACTAACCGAAGTAGGGCTAGGAATGCCCTCTTCTGCCATGCGTCAGCCACGTACAGCTAAGCGCTTCAGGCTCCCAGATCTGAAGTTCTGAAGCTGAAACACTCCACACAAACCCCACACCTTCCGTGTCGCTGCGAACGCAGTTTGCTATCACGCTCGCAAGCGCTTAAACCATGCTGCAGGAAGTATCGCAGGCTGCTGGCAACACGCATCAGAGACATGAGAATGCGCGGACAGTCGAAGCAAGGACATGAGTCGTTTCAAACGTTCAGAGGCTAATACAAGAATAGTGTGGGACTTGCGGAGGCAATCCATCCGATTCTGAATACGTGCGTCTCTGATACTCCGAACAGAACTACTTGTCAAAAACCCCTGCGAAGGATGTCTTGCTCCGTCAAGTCCCGGAACACCTGCGTTTCTCGAGAAACATCCTACGAGCAGAGTTCTTGACCATGCACGTCAAGGCGTGCCAGGGCCAAAACTGTGAAGACCTTGCGCATCCCGCTCAGAAGTATGTACTGAGGAAGGTCCCATTGATCGACCTCCCACGCTGCGTCTGCGCCTCACTCAAATACAATCCCGCTGGCTGACAGGCAGCCAGCTGCGCATAGGGCACCTCACCGAAAAGAAGCTGATCTCAACACAAGTTCATGGTAGTGATCCCTCATGTTTCGCCCTCAGCACGTGTCTGCCGTATGTACGCTTCGACCAATCAGAACGAATGTGAATACATTCACAACATACATTTCTGCAATATACATATACGTATAAATATACATATACATATACA